CATCACATATGAATTTTCTTCATGGAATTTCTTTAAACAAAAGATATAAATGTCTTACCTCTTATGAAAAATCTTAATTCACAGTTCAATCTATTACACAGACTCTAATCAATTCATATTGCTTAAGAGCAACAACCAAGCATAGTAATTATACACTACATACTAAATTCTTCAAAAGTTAGCCATTGCACTGAAAAATAAAAATGATAAGACATAAGATATTTTAAGTTTATATAAATTCAAGATAAATAGTTATAAAGGGAGAATGTAAACACTAACCCACCCCATACACACAACAACACATGAAAAGGGGGCAACTTTTGGCTACTTACAAATGGCCCCTTAAACTTTCAAGGCTAGAACAAGTCTCTCAACTTCAATGCTCAAGAAAAGAGGTCTTTTTATCTAACTCACATTTAACATCATCACCTCATTTGGCACTTTTTATTATCATTTGGCAAGAAGGAACTGTAAGGGAGAAGATCAAAAAAGATGAAATAACTATCAACTTTCCTGGTGTTTTGATTAATAATTAATGCTTGCCTGTGCTGAGCTTTTAGATTTTGCTTGCAGGGTGATACACCATGTGAAAAATGACCTAAGAAGGGTAGCCCTATAAAAGAGGTAAAAGGGAAGGATAAGACGTTAATGAGCATTGAGAGTATGGAGCCAATAAATCCTAATGAATTGAGATTGCTTGATTTGGCAGAGAAAGAGAAAGTGTTTAACATTGGTAAGAATAGCAAGAATGAAACTTAAATTAATACATAAAGAATTGTAAGAACCAATCTTCAGAAAGAAGGACCAATAGTGATTTTTGGTATTTCTAAACCTAGGAAGAGAAGAAAATTTATGAAAGTTAGCAAACATTATGCTACGAATAGGAGTGACAAGGTTTATGATGGAAATGATTCAATTAAACTTATAAATTTCTTAATGCCTCAAGGTCCAGCTTTTCGAGAATGGAAAAATAGTACCAAGAATGATACAAAGGAGAAATAAGGAGCCAATTTAAAAATGGCAATAAAGATAAAAAGACCTATTTCCTAAAGAGCAGAAGTCCAAAGACCTATTTTCTAATTTTAGAAGTTCACAGGGCAATTTGTAGGGGAGCCAAAGTAAAGGAGGGGGTTGCATTTTCCCTTATCAAATTATATATATTAAAACATCACTCAACATCCCAAAATAAGCATCTCCTACCTCAAGTCATATACATTAGCAAGAAAAATATTAATGACAAACGTTCATAAACATTAAGGCTTTTACACGAGAAGCATTTTGTTTCAAAGGAGAATACATAATCCCAACAAATGCCAACCATTAAAATTGAGCCAATGCTATTTACATGAGAAGCATTCCGTTTCAAAGGAACCTAAAACTTTGAACTAGGAATATAAGCAAGTTCTATTTTCCATTGCAATTTTTAGCCCGAAAAATTACTAATTTCTATCGAAAACAGACAATCTGACAACATCGATCCAACTTCAACTTTTTAAGCTGACATTTCTCACAGGAAACGTTCTTCCTATACTCGCTAAAATTGAAAACCACAACATACTGTAAGTTTTAGACTTTATAAATGAAAATCCTCACCTTTGCAGTTGTGTGAAGTACAAGAGAGTTCAAATCCAAGCAATGGCAGTTGGAGCTTTAACATATAATGCGGCGGAACAACATAGTGGGTGCGACACAAATGGAAACAACACTAGAGAAGACCTCTCACTGACAATTGCATAATCCTAGAGCTAATATAGAAAGCTTAACAAACGACAAAGAACAAGGATGAGCCAGGACAAGAAGCAGCTTGAGGGAGACGCCAAAACAGAGCAAATAGGGCTCTGGCGTGGGTATGTTGGTTTTTTTCTCTCAAGGGCATTTTCGACGATTTACATTGTTTTTAATCCCAACTAAGGACCATGGTCCTTACTTGAGATTTTTTTTATTTTAGAGTCCTTAATAGGAATTAATATCCTTAACTGGTCCTTAATTGTCATTTCCCTTAGATTTAATTCTGCTTAATGCCATTGGAAATGAAGTTAGCACAAATAGTTTAAAGGAGACTCCGTGGTACTTTCACATCATTATCACTTCGGCCCCGCCATAATGCAACAACGACAAACCCACTATAGAAAGAGAAGAGAATTTCATTAATGTCCATTAAATATGATATAATTTCAATCAAGTCCTAAAAAATTCTGAAATTTCGTTGCAAGCTCGAATCACTGAAATAAAACAAATTCTCTTGGTTGAATGATCAAGATAATACCCTTTAATTATAATTAGTATTAGTGATATAATAAGTTAAGTTATAAATTTTATAAGAGACATTAATAAAATGAACATAACCTCTAACCATTCTTATAATATTACTTGTGAAAATCATAACTTAACTTATTATTTTAACAATATTACTTATAAAAATCATAACCTGACTATTTATTTCAATTATATTACTTGTGAATATATGTTAGTTCAATGTTCTGATATAGTTGAAATTTTAGTACTGCTTGAGACCTGATGAAAATGATGTCACATCCAAGGAACTTTAATAAAATTCTCCCTAAAAAGAGTCCATCAAAACGCAGTTATGTTTAATTAATTACTCCATGTGGGATGCATTATTGATTAATTAAACAGGACATACAGCATGATTATTGCAAATAAAAAAATTCAACAGAGCTATGGAATATATTATTATATATCCATATGAAGAAGTTGGTAGCTTAAAAATCAACATAAATGATATTATATATTGCGCATGCGACGACTTGGTTCTGTTCTCATATAATTAAGCTTCAATATAATTAACTTTCTAATCATTAATCAACCATAGCTGCGCATTGTGTGTGAACTGTGTGTGTAAAATATGTACTGTGTGTGTATTCATACATATAGGAACACACACATACATATAAATTTGCTGGTGGCAGGAGGGTGGATTCTTTATTCCCAACTAACCCTTTGCTGTCCTTATATATATATATCCTTAACTATTCTCAACAATGTTATGATGGCCATGTTTAGCAATGTTATATTGGTTTAAATTTTTTTGAATATATTCCTTAAGATATGTAGCTAACTTTCTTGGGGCAATTTACGTGGGATATCCAGATGTCTAGCTGTGAAACCATACCATTCGGCTCAAAACTTTTGTAGTAATTAATTATATCTCAAAAACTAATGTTCAGAAAACGGGAACAGCATCGGAAAATTTTACCATTACAATACAACGTGCTCAATCACCGCATGTCTTATGTGAGAGATAAGAAGCCTGAAGGGACGTCCAATTGGCAATTTTCACAAGACTAAATCAAAGTACGAGTGCATGCTTATATGATATATATCAGCATTTTTTCCCACTGAAGGGACATAATGCAGAGAGATCAGGAACCTGAAGGGGCCAATTTGCTTGTAATTAAAATTAAAATCAAATTCGAAATGCCTCATATATATTACTGCGGCGCTCATAGAGTGAGAGGCAATATTGGGGACTTGGTGGCAAACCTGGTATATTAATGGAGGAATATGCATATTCCTGAAAGCAAATTATCAAGTGCTTTATGGAATCAAATTCAAATTATTCTGCGCTAGGATAATGATGTGGCAGCCGCGAGTTAATATTGTGTAAACAAAGCATGGTACGGCTTCAGTTTCCCTGTTGCGTGAAATAAAGGTCAGAACCTCCACATCAGAATTTGCAGACATGTATATATGTAGTGGAGAATATTGGAATGTCAGCTGATCGACATTACAATATTTAATCTTAATTAGCAGCCGTTAATCTCTCTAGCTATACCTGACCTAACCTACACTGCGCGCTAAACGTACAATCGCCCTTTACATCGCTTCACATACACATATATTTTCAAATACAGGTCGCCGATTTAAACTGTTGAATATATGAAATCATTTGGAAGAACGTTTGTCTGCCTTAGATAACCAACTTAAAGTAATTTTACATAGTTATGTATACAATGGTTTCATTGTCCAGTGTCACTGATTCAGTCCAGATTCGTTCATCACTCTATCGACAGCCGATATATAATTTGTAGGTGTTTGGAGTCTGAGGAGATTAATTAACAAAATAGTTCAACTAAATACTGACGTCTAACAGTCTACTACTGGTAATTAGTAAGCTAAAGCCAAACTAGCTAGACTATATTTACCAATAACAGTTTAACTGATTCTGATATTAGTATAACGCTTCGATTTCATGTTAATTTGGTCTTGATTGTCAAAATTCAGTCTGTAATAGTACTGAACTTACACATCATTGCCTGGAGAGTATAGGCAATTAGCCACCCAAAAAAAAAAATTAATAATAATAACAATGAGGTAGCATGCAGCAGATCACATGCCGCTAATGAGTAATGATATTGAACAAGGTATTTTGTTCCATTTTCATTTCCTGAGAGCTCTGTATACATGGTCCATGGATCTCATAATTTATGTGTATTTGCAAGAAAGCTAACATATATCAGCATCCTGTTTATGAAAGAAGTGCTAGCTTAATAAAGAAGATATATAGGCCGAAAGGAACCGTTGCGTTTGCCAGTTCATATTCGCTTCCACTGTTTTATATATTGGTCTCATGATAAAAGAACGCGGAAAAGGACCGCACTTAGTTCTAACAATCCCTAGACAAATAGAGACAGACACACCTAAAATAAACACATATTAATTATATCCTATTATTATAACCTAATGAAACAAGTGGCCTTTCATGTCGTTGTGAAGAAGGGGAAAACATACATTAGATGGTATTATATATATAGAATAGAAACTTGTACGTTGTGATAAATATGAAATGGGTAAAAGAAACGAGGGGAAATCTAAGGAATCAAATAAAAATGGCTAACTTGCGACTCGGTTTGTAATTATATATATTGGGCCTTCACGTCTATCAATGACTATAAGGAGCTGTTTTAAACGTGCAGCAAGCTAGCACTAATGATGTGTGTTCTTTCTGGTAAAACATAAAACATACTCTAACACATTGATTTAATTAAGAAGAAGAAATTGATTGCCAAATCAATGCAAGTAATAGCAGAGTTACAGGAGACTCAAGATATATGACAAACCAAAAAAAAACCAATGAGACATTAATTAAGTAGAAGTACAAGTGTACAACGCAAACGCACCAGACGGAGAAGTGAACTATATCAAAATCAGCAGCAGCATATATAAAGTCGAAAATAAAGATGAGAAGAAGAAGAAGAAACATTGAGAACGGTCATAACTAAATTATAGCCCATCATGAATTCGCTGACCTTGAGTTATATAGGTACATATGTGCATCAAATGCAGTTGGCAATTGCTTCAAGTGGCGCTTGAGGTACGTAAAAGATGAGAAAAACTGAGTTGAGTTGAGGTTTGACCAGTGGAAGAATTGGAGATCAAAAAGGAGGACGGGGGACCGAGTTGCCGGAGGCCCAGCCTTCCACAGGAATCTGCATATTAAGGGGCAAATTGAAGAAGGGTAGACCGGAGGATGGGTCAGGGAAAGCAGCCGCCGCCGCCGATCCCTGAGAAGAAGCAGCCGGTGGTTGCATCTGGAGTTGCTCCTCCTGCTCATCAAGCGGTAACCTCTCGTACGCCACGTTCGTAAACGAAGATGCAATCACCATGACCGGTCCCGCTGCCGTCAACTCTCCCACCACACTTCCTCCCACAACTTGTCCTTGCCCTCCCGCCAAGTATACAGTCAGGCTCGTCGCACCTGGCGGGGCCGGAGGTGGTAGGAACGATCCCGACAGTGACAATATCTCGAACCTTCCGTGAAGGTTGACCACGGCTCCAGCGGCAGCCGGCTGCCTCAGGGCCACATTGGTGACGCTGCCGCTGCCGCTCAGAATACAGATCCCGCGCTGGCGACGACGTGCGTAGGTGGCGACGGAGTCAAAGACATCGGAGCCGCTGGCGACTTCTAGGATATGAGCGCGGAGGGTGTTGGCGCTTTCTCTGGTGATGATGACTGGCGGTTTGGGCTTGTTCTTTGAACCAGGAGGGCGGCCACGGGGACGGCGAGCGACGATGTCGCCGGGACCTGCGGAGGCTGAAGCGAGCTCGAGGCCCTGGTGGGGATCATCTTCGGAAGAAAAAGGGGCCAGCCGATTGCCATCTTCTTCGGAATCGGGTTGGTGCGACTGCTGCTGAAGGTGCAAGTCAGGTCTGTGAAGATTCTGAACAAAGCGAGAAGCAGTGCCTAAATCCAGACCAGCCATATACACATCAAAGAGAGAGACAGAAAAATTATTACAAGAAAACGGAAACAAGGGGAAATAATTAATTTTGTTATGGATATTAAATTCTATCCAAGATTAAGAGGTAGCAGCACTTGAAAAAAGATATAAAACTGAATCGGGCTGTGCTTTCGTTTATTTTAAGAGAAGTGGGAAAAATTTATGGTAGAAAATGAGGAAGAACGGATAGCGAAAGAGGGAAGGGGGGTGGGAAGCAGAAGGAGAAGGGTGGAACTGAAAAAGAGAAGAGGATTTAAGAAAAGATATAAAACAATAACACAGACAGGAGTGGCGGAGGATGGAGTGCAGAGAAAGAAAACGAAGAAGGTCAGAGAGAGAGGGGGGGGGGGGAGAAGACGCAGACAAACAACTCAGCGCTAACCGCTAGCTCTCATTTTTTTTGGGCTGCCAAAAGCTTAAATAAGAGCTCATAAAATAATAATTAGTAATCTTTCTAACCAAATATATTAATTATAATGGCCAGCAAAATCTCTACCCTTCCTCTCCCTGCTTTTCTATCTCAATTTAATCCAACGATCATTATTATAAATCAATGTGTTCATTTTTGTGTTTCAAAGTATAATTTAATTGTTTATACAATTCAACCAGACCAATCCGTTAACTAATATTAAAAAATTTGATGAACTGGTTATGAAATCGATTTATTTTGACCCTGAATTTTAAATGAAAAAACAGAGCTAATAAACAAATATTTATGCTTAAACATTTTTATTTTTCTTTATGGCATAACAAATGTGTCATTTAAATATCTAATGGGAAAATAATTTTGTTTGAAAAATTATCCACTTGTCATTTCCGTGAGATTGTTCGAGATTTCAATGTCCCCATGTATTATATAAAATCTAAAAATAAGTAATTTGATCTTGATTTGATTTCCTACAGCAATGTATAATGAAAAACTAAATATACTATCATTAAATATATTTTATAATCTTATTTTTAAAATAAAAATATGAATTTTTAAATTTTATTTAATATTAAATTTGTGAATAAATAATATTAAAGAGAGAATGTAATGAAAAGAATAATATAAAAAATATTATTTTTGTAAAAAGTATGTTATATTTTAAAACGTTAAAATTCTTTAAAAAAATATTTTATGAATCGAGACGTGTAGCATCATTAAAACGTGAAATGCTCTTTAAATGCCTTATTTTTTTGGACCAAATGAAACGCTTCCTGTCGTGGTTAATGTAATTTGCGAAGTTTTAAGAATATTTGATAAATACTATGATGATGGATTTGTAATTACTAAATAGTACTCTCTACAAATTCTATCGTAGAGCGCCTTTTAAAATTTATTTCATTTTTTATTTAAATAAAAATAAAATTAAAATTTTATTATATTTTCAAAGTTGATAATTTAACTATTACCAAAAAATTTAATACTTTGACCATTTTCCTTGATTTGGATGAGGTAGTTAGGAGCATGTCTTATAACAGGAATTTGAATTCTGAAGGAATAATTACGAGTGCTTCTTCGGAGTTCAATTTGTGATAGCAGATTGATATTAAACTACTTAAATGTAAATAATAAGTTATGAAGTTTAATAATCCTAATTTTTATTTTTGTATAGGACTATTTCTGAATAATTATTGAATAATTATCTAGCATCTTATACACTCATCTAAAATGTTAGCAACTTTCAACTACAATCCATATACCAATAAAATTTAATTATATTCTTATTTTCATGAAAACATATCACAGTTTTTCCTTTTTACTCTTAGCCCCATCTGCCAATGATGAATTAAATTAGAAATAGATTAAGAATGATGATGGGTAAAACAAGAAACTAGATTAATTAATATAATGAGTAAAATGAAAAAAAATAATATATATAAATATATTAAATATTTTATATTTTAAACCCAGTTGGAGTAAACTAGTAATATTTTGAACAGGAGGAATACACCCAAGCCCCTTCATCCTAATGATCCATCCATTCTGGCTCATGCAACATTAAATGCTCTTGTAACCAAAGCACCTCTAATTAAAGGTCAATTTTTCTTGACAACAAGTCATCACTATTGGTTAAGATCGAATTCAAACATCTCATTAAATGCTAGGGTAATCGTGGATGAGTAGTGCTCCTTTCAATCTAAAATATAAATATTTTTTAACTAATTTTAATTTAAAGTATAAATAGTTTAGTATATGTAAAAAAAATTCTCATTCTTACTCCTCCATTCCAAATTATGACATTTTTTAAAAAAAATTGACATTTCAAAATATAAAATACTTTAAAAAATTTTATTAAATAAATTTAATTATTTCAGTATTATTCTTTCTCTCTTTATTTAATTTTCATCCCTCTCTCCTTTTAATATATTAAATGAAGGGTATTTTTAAAAATTTTATATTTTTATTTTTAAAAAATTGCTAAATGTATTTAATAAAATTTATTAGTATATGAGATTTTGTCAAAAAATATTTTATAATTTGAGACAAATAAAGTACCTCTTGTATTTACTAACATAAGTTCTTGTATAAATTTATCTTTCACTCATTATCAAGTATTTTAATAATTGAAACTAAGAGTAAAAATAAAAAACAATATGTATTTTTATGATATTGAAAAATTTATTGGCTTGCAAATTTTTTTAAAAAAATGTCTAAATAACTAAGTTGATTGTTTTAATTCTGACAAATTAGTTAAAAGGGTTATATGCTCAGGACGGGAGGGAGTAATCACCAAAACACGTTGCCCTTCATTAAATATTAATACATATGGGGAAAAGTATTATTAAATTATATATATTTAATACAAATAAAATTAAAAACTTATTAAATTTTTAAATAAAGTTAAGTAACGTCTGAATTGATAATTTAAAATCTTGTATTTCAAATTACATATTTAAAATTCATTATTTCGATAGTTTAAAAATTTTTAAATGAAAAAGGTAAAAGACTTAATATTCAAAATGAAAATAAAAAATTTAAAATAATAAGGTTATCTATATTTTTTCATCTACGAGGATGAGAATGAAATATAAAAAATATGAGAATTATAGAGACATTAATAATAAAAAATAAAAATAATAAAATATTTAAAATGATTGAAATTTTAAACAATTTAGCAGTAAAGAGAATTTAAAATTATAAATGAATTATAATAATAAATAAATTTAGATTTAAATTAAATTCATAAATTTTTGTGAACAAATAATTAGAGATTTAGATAAATCCAAATATAAATCTCCATTAATTAAAACATACAATTAACAAATTTTAAAATTTTTATTGATTTTAATAAAATAGTAAATGACTTACCTAAATAGTATTATAGGAGTGCGTAATTTTTTTAACATAAAATTAAAAGTAGGTTTATTTAAACAGAACAGGGAGCAAGATGGGGTCTTAGTGCATGAAGCTTGCACTGAATGCCTCGTTGAAATAAATTAATCAAATCCTTAGCTCAACCTCCACATAGGAAGAGTAAGAAAGTAAAAATAGATTAATAATGAATATTCATTGCATATATTAACCCTAATTCTACTCCTCGTCGTTCGTCCTAATTACAGCAAGGTTAATTAACTTCACTGTTCTTAAAAAATAATAATATGTAGTTTATATTTTTAAATTTGTAAAAAATATTTGATTTTTTTTTGATTTTACTGGAATAATGATCACAATAAAATTTGTGCACGAATTACAACTTGATACAATTAAAAAAATAATATTGAAAAGGTAATTATTCATTATTTCTTACAAATAAAACTATTAAAAAGGATTATATTTAAAACTTTACGACAAAGGATTATATTTAAAATATTGCTTACAAATCACAGAGGGAGAGAGAGAGGATATATAAATAAGTATTCATTATTTATTAATCCTAGTTCTAAATATTCAGTATCGGAGGCATTTAAACTTGTTTTAAAGTATGAAGATGTACATTATTCTTTAATTTCTTTTCAGGCAGGTTCTTCGTGGTTCTTGTCATGGATATTGCTTCTATTATTTCCTATACTAGCTTGTTTCTGTCATCTTTAGAATTTTTGCGTTTATATTATTTTAATTTGAATTGTCTTGTGGGCGATGGGATCCAACAAGATTTGGGACATTATTTTGTTTTGTAGCTTGTCCTGTGTACTTCGTCAAATAAATTGTTTTGCACTGCATATATAATAGCAGTCTGCGTATTTATCCACTCGGCGGACCCCAGAAAAAAAGAGTTATATATTTGGGATTCGTAACTTTTTTTCACAAAATAAATTGCTTTTTTTTTCACCCCCAAATATTGCAGATTAAACCAAAATCCTCATTTTATATTTAATTTTGAAAATAAAATATTGCTCTCTGTTTTTTACATTGAGAAAAGCAGATCCATTTACACTATACATAGATCTGCAGACGATCTAGCATGTGGGACGTTAAAAAGTCTGCCTACTGAACTAATTAGTATTTTTTTCAAAAAAAAAAATCAAATAGTTTTTAACTTTTGAAGTTGCCGTCATCCCACTTAACAAAGCTTCTTGTCATTGTTGCAGAAAATTTATTTATGATTATATCGAATCTGTTGTCTGGTCAACTAAAATTAATGTGTACTTCATCAGGTCAAAACCCAAAATTATTAGTTCATTTCACCCAATTACACAGTAACCAAAGAAAGGAAGGAGTTAAGAGGAAACTAATTCATCCATAAACAAAAAAAGGAAACTAATTCATTAAATATGCCAAAAAATTACAATACTTTCTGGAATTATCCTTATTAAATTGAAGGATAATAGAAAGTAGTAACCACTTATATACCTCCCCAATCCTTCCTTAGATCCAAGTCCTAATATTTAAAAACACACGAATCAAGGAGATGCCAAGATTTATGTACAAATAAACATCAATTGTCTAGAAACGGATATTAATTATAATTAAGAATTCGTATCAAAACTTATATTTAAGAACAAAATTAAAGGGAGATAAAAATTAGGACTTTTTTTCAGTAGTGGAAGAAGTGATATTTAATTGGAAACCAAAAAAATTAGGAGAGAAAAGTACTCCTCTTATCCCATTTATGAGTCACCCTCAGCATATTTCATCGGAACTAAAAAAAATTTAAATTTTATTAACTTTATTTTAAAATTTAACAAGTGTCCACCTTTACTTTCAATAAATATTTATAAATTTCATTATTGATATTTTCATTTCAAGTATTTAATAAGAGTAAAAATGTAAAAAAAGAATATTGAAAATTGATAGTGCCCCATACATAGGATTAATTTTTTTTCTTTTTCTGTCTTATAAATAAGATCAAAGGAGTAATCAAAACTCTGAATATTACGGAACAAGATTTATATTTTGTATGAGAAAAGCTTGGAGAAAATGTCTTGGTGGTATCCTGGACAAGGAGAGAGTACA